CACACATTAGAATATTCAGCCACCTGAGATCAGAAGGGCAGTAGTTACCCAAGGACCAGCGTTGAGAAGGAGGGAAAGAAGACAGAATGGAAACAGGAGGCACAGGGGAAGTGGGTAAGTGGTGTACACCGTGGGAATCGCAGTCAGTGAGATGAAACCAAATGTGTGTGACTCGTTGAATGTAAACTAACGATCACCCGATTTCTCTCTGTCTCTCTCGCCCTCCCTCTCTGTTTAGATATTTGTTTCCAGAAAACAAAACAGAGGGGAAGCAGGATGCTGAGAAGGATGTGAGGAAGTACCTTTCTTCTCCTGGAGGCGGCAGTGGGGGGCCCAGGCCATCATCTGACCTTAAGGATGATGGCTGCCCAGGGGATCGTGGGAATGAAGCACTGCTTTCAGATGTTGACCTAAATAGGATGAGAGCAAAATTCCAAGGTCGACAGTGACTATTCCCCCAGGGAATCCTTAAGGCCTTCTTGATCTCCAAATGCTGCAGATCTTGCTAATGGTCTCCTCCTCCCAACAAGGCCCAGGCCACCCTTGCAGCCCCCAATCAAACTGGTTGCCATACCGGTGATGCTGAGGGTCTGAGGCTGGGGGAAGTTCCACTTCTAGAGGCAAGGTCAGAACAAAGACATCCAGTGTGACACTGAGGTCCCTCAGTGGAACTCGGCCTCCAGTGGGCAGACCCTCCAGACTGGAAAGCACCTGGCCTGGGAAAGGAAAAAGTTAGGGCTGCCGAGGGCTCTGGGGCAGCCCAGATGCCCTCTTCTGAGATGGATGCAGGCAAGCTGTGCTGGGCCCTTGGACCCTCCCTGGGTATCCCCAAGCCCCTCACCCAGGCAGGTGGGCAAGCTGCCCACGGGCACTGAGCTGTGCTGGCCACGCAGTCGCATGGAGCACGTAAGGTGCAGGAAGAGTGGTGGCAGATCATGTAGGAAGCTCTCTGGCCCAGTGGGTGAGTCACCGCCCAGGATACTGAAGGAGTCTTCATCGGGGTTCACAGTGTCTGCGTCGGACAGCGAGGTGGACTCCAGCCCAGCAAGTCCCAAGTCTGGGTCGCGGCTCTCGCAGTACTCCACCTCCAGCTCTGGGTCACTCTCAGTGACCACACAGCAGGCAGATGTGTCTCCTGGTGATGCATGTCACGTGGTTATTGGGAGGGGTCAGCTGTGGAGCCCAGAGTTGTGGCTTGAAGCAAGTTTTCCCACCTCTACCCCCTGGTCCACATACCTTCTTCTCCTATCAGCTCAGCCTCTGAAAACTCCAGGTCACTGACTTTCTTGTCTACTGTGTCCTGGGGGACCTCATCCTGGTGGGAAAGACAGAGAGAGACAGACAGGGAGAGCCAGCTTAGCTCAAGGCAGGAGAGAGGCCAACGGCAGGCCCCTAGGAACTGGAACCAAGATTCAAGAGAATTCAAGTGGGCTGAAGTCGGGTGTCTGGGATGAGGGCCAGGGAGGCACTTACTTCTCGTCGGCTGGATGGAGGACAATAGAAGAAATAGTGAGGATTGGAGGGCACTGTGCAGAAGTAAAGCTGGCTGATCTCTAGGAACTTCTCCTGTATGGGGGTCCAAAGGAGGCAGTCAGCCAACCAGACTCAGAGCAGGACACCTTTGCCCCGAGAGTTGGGCAGGGCTCCATCCCTCTCCCAAGCCCCCCACCTGGATGAGGCTATGAAGGGTGTCGTGGGCCTGTCCTCTGAGCTGGCAGATGTCCGTTAGAGCAATCTCCGGACCAGGGTCTGCATGGCCAGTGATACGAGTGCTCTGGAACTCGGGCTCGCTGAAGTCCTCAGTCTCGATGCTGAGGGGCCGTAGGGAAGGAGTGGAAGTTAAGAACCACCAAGTTCCTGAGGAGCCTATTTCCTACTGGGGAGCAGCCCACACCAGCAGTCTTCATTGCTGAGCACCCACCATGGAGGTGGCAGAAGCAGGGAGAACCAAACCCCACATCCCAAGTCCAGCACCCACATCTTAACGGCCAGACCCGCCTCTGAAAGAAGGCAGTGTGCCTGGGTGACTCCTGGTTTCCTGACTTGGACTGCTGTGCGTCCCCCGTGAGTGGAGAACACAGGTGGAGACGCAAGGCTGGACTGGAAGAAGGTGCATTCGTTTTGGGGAGCAGGGGTCACTCTAGGGCTCCACAATGGGCTGGAGTCATCAGTGTATCCATCCCTTGGATTCCCATTTCCCCTGGGCCAACACACTGCCAGAGCTGGACAAGCACGATACCTGCCAGCCCTCCAACACGGAGGTGTGGAGCCCCCACCTGAGGTGGGGCTCCAAGGTCAGCACCCAGCTCTTGCCCGTAGGAAACGAATACTGGTGAGGGGTTGGTGCTACGCATGAACATCCTGGGGAATGTGTCTCTATTTATGGCTGGCAACTTGGACCTTACTACCCCCACCTAGCTCAATAGTCCACACCAAACCAGGAGGGGGAGGGCGAGTGGGAGAGAGAAGTCTGGGGGGAGTGCCAAGAAGTCAGGGACAACGCACTACTGCTTGTACCTTTCACAGCTCCTTCCCTGGCTTGGAAGGGGACTGGTTCCAAGAGCTCTGCGTGTGGCTTATACATCATTCAAGTACAGTCCTAACCTGGATTCAGAAGCTAGGACAGCTCGCTCCCGAGGCTCGGGGCACTCCTCGATGCTGCTGCTGAAGGCTCCAGGGCTGAGGGGTCCAGGGCTTGGGGGCGCATGAGGCAAACTCCAGGTGTGGCCACACAGTGTGAGCAGAAAGGGGGTGATGTCCACTTCCTGCAGTAGCTCCTCACAGGCATCCACTGCTATCAGCAAGTCCTGGGAGGTCACGCTCTGTGCCTGCTGCAGGCTCCGGAACAATCCTGACAGAGGTGGAATCCAGGATCGAGTGCTGGAACAGTCTCTTCTAGTCCCCATCCCTGCAATGCCCCCAGTGCTGCTCCTGCCTGGAGCTCCTGCACGGGGCTGTCGGCTCACCTCGGACGTAGCACCGTTGGGCATGCTCCTGCAGTAAGGCACAGTGGTTGGCTGCCTCCTTGTAGCGGGGCTCCAGCCAAGCTGAAGACGAGTGGTCGAGGAAGTGAGTCCTAGGCATGGGAGGAGAAGCAGAAGTGGCCAACTCTCCTAATCCACGGCTCCGACTCATCCTCCACCCACATGCAACTGAATCTGCTACGGACCCTGACCAGATGTGTTCATGGGCCGGCAAGCTCAACAAATCTGCCGACAAACGCTCAGCAGAGTTGACAGGCCAGGCCTGAGAAGCTGACTTCCTGCCATTGACAGTCTGCTCGTACACATTAGTGTGCGCCTGGATTTTGGTTGGGAGCCATGGTTAGAGGTCAACATAGGTCAGCGTTGCGGGCACTTACTGAAAGCTGAGGTCTCGGGGAACCTGAGGAGGCTGTATGCCAACCATTTGCTCCCTCAGTGCTTCCAGGGAACAGCTATAGATGTAGACGGGACACCGGGTCCGAGGTCCATCTGAACCCTCGGTTTGGGAAGCCTGGCGCCCCGTATAAGTCTGAAGGTCCTGCCGGAAGGCTGGGCTCGGCTCTCCTTGATTCTGGGCATTGTCTGTGGGCAAGAGGTGTCATGTGGTCTCAGACCCCCCTAGCTGTTCCCACTCCCACTCCCAATTCACTTAAAAGATTCGACAGCCTTACCGCCAGCTGGGGTGACACTAAGGATGGGAACCTGGGGCCGTGTAGTCTTGACCCCACTCCCCACCATATCTCTGAGGCTGGGAGCCCCACTGCAGTCCCCAAACTTAGGCTTTGTCTCCTCTTGAGAAGGCCCCTCCAAGCCATAGGCAGACAGATGCTGGACATCTAAAGAGAAACAGACATAAAACAGAGTTGTCTAGCAGGCCAGTAAGGGGTTTTCGAGGCTTTGAACCTGAGGAGGGCTGGGACATCCATTAGAAGAAGAACAGCCACAACACTCCTCAGAAGTGAGGGTGGTGAGACTTCATCTTGTCTATACTGGATACGTCATCAGAGGGACAGGGGCGACATGGAGAAGGATATTATGCTTGGTGTAGAGAGACAAGATCAGCAAAGACAGGGAGAGCCTCAATGCAATGGTGTGACACAGTGAGGGCGGCCCACGAGCAAGCAGTGCTTCCCTCTCTTGTCCGCAGGGTCCCTGTGAGGTGGCACCCAACACAACAACTGACGGGCCTTAGTAGGGCAAGGTGCGCCACTGGTACCTGAGAAGGTAGCTGGGAGAAAGGTCAGAAACACGTGCTGCGGGGCCGCAAGTCTTGCGTAGCAGCGCCACTGCACGGGCTGGGCAGGCGTGGGCATCCTGAGGGTCTCGGGAGCCACACTCTGTGAGAGGGAAACAGACACAGGCCATGGGGAAGGGCACACCCAGCCCCCATGCTCTCCTCCACTCGAGCCCAGCCTCAGTGATGGCATGAACGAGCAGGGCAAAGGGAAAGGGAAGGAGGCCCTTGGGAAGGAGGGGACGGAGAGCTGGGCTGTGAATACGAGCATGGAAGGCCAGCAGGAAAAGGGCTCCAGGTCAAGAAGCACAGCTGACCAGGGTGCTAAGAGGCGAGTCTCCAGAAGCCGGGGCACTGCTGGCGACCTGATGCTTCGGGATCCCTTGGTCCCCCATTGATAATCCCTCGGAACCTACGATGCACAGCGGAGGGAGAGATGACAGACAAGGGCAGGGTCAGAAAAGAGGCAGAAACTGCAGTGGGATGGGGACAAGGGGCTGGGTCAGAGGCTGCTTTTAGGGAAGAAGTGGGCATTCAACCTCACCGGAACCATGGCAAGTCCGCCGCAGAACTTCACTCAGCAAGGTGGCCTGGTCAGTGGGGGTCAGCGGGATCTCCCGGTCACTCAGCTCCTGCCCCAGGCAGCTGTGCAGCAGGCACAGCACCATGTCGTTGGCGGGATAGGGCCCCTCGGTGAGAGGGACGCCCTCTGGCTCTGCCCGACATACACTCTGCTCAGCACCGAGAGCCTCCTGCTGCCCACTGCCCCGACTCAGCCCTGGCCAGCAAAGGCTCTCCTGCCACCTCACAGCCCCCTCCAGTTCTGCCACTCACACAGGCACTCGCTGACCCATCTGCCCTGTTCGCCAAATGGCCCCGCTTGCTGGCCCTTCTAGTGTGAGGCGAGCGAGTGATTACCAAGGCAACCCACCTCTGGACAGCAGAAGGAAGAACATCTGGAGTTGCTGGCACTGTGGTAACAAGCCCATGAGGTCAAAGTGGAACGGGATCTCGTACACACAGGCGTCTCCTCCTTGGTCCAATCCTGGGAGGGAGAGGCAGGAAGCTAAGACATGTCCTGAGGCCTGGCGACCTGCCTGGGGCTACCGCCCCCTGCTTCGCCCCAAGGGGCTCCACTTGCCCACTGACCATTAGAAACCTTTGGCTCTGGGGGCAGAGGACTCCATTCCTTGCTCTGGCACAGCTGTATCAAATATTCAAAGCTCAGCATGGAGCCTATGCAGGCAGCATCCCGGGGGTGGAGCTAAGGGGTGAACACCAGAGGTCATGGTCAGGTTCACGGAAGTGCAGGCAGTCACAGACTGAGGGGCCACTCCGTAGGGGAAGGGTGGGTGCAGCAGTGCGCAATCACTCACAGCCTGAGGGATCTCGGGGTAGGTCAAGTCCTGGAGGTGCCTCCAGCTCTCAGGGCCGGGTCCCACACGCCCACACTGTGGCTCCACCCAGACCTCTGTCACCAGATTGAGCTCGGAGTCTCCCTCCAGAGCCTCGACTTCCACGTCATTGTCATCATCTGTTGAGAAACTAGTGGAGGAACGAACGGCTCTGAGCCCGGCGGAGAAGCGAGTGCAATCCCCAAGCTTAGGGCAAGGTGACTCAGCCCATGCAGGAGGGGAAGGAGAGCCACAGGGTGGTCCCATCTGCCTGGGGAAGCAGGAAAGAGCCAGCAACTGTCCCCACTCTCAGGGCAAGATGATCTGAAGATGTCAGGGGCAGACTTCAGGACAAGAGGGGTCAGGACCCACCTGTCTTTGGTGGAGGTGGAGTGCGGGGGGAATAGGATGTACTGGACAACACACGTGTGCTTCTCCTCAGCTGCAGCCTGCCCAGGCGGCTCATTCTGTGGGGTAGATGGGAGGGAGACCATGGGCAAACTCCAGCCTCGCCATGCCCTGGCCCCTCAAGACATCAGTCCCAGGAACAGACCTTGGTGTTGCCGCCACACAGTGCCTCCCCCTCAGCTCTGAGAGGGGCATCTCTGGGGTTCTCAGCGAGCAAGCTGAGGGGAAAGGGGTGTCCGGAGGGCACATACCTGAATCGGAAGCTCTAGGACCATATTGATGATTCCCTCCCCGCTACAGGCGAAGTGGAAGCCCTCAGACAGACGGACTCTGGAGGCCCAAACAGGCCGGGGCAGAGTGGAAGGAGAGACTCATCAGAGTACAGCCTCCCAAGCTCTCTGCTCACACAGCCACCTCCTAGCAGCCAGCTGGCAGCCTAGCCTTCTGGTGGTCTCACGCAAACCACTGGCCCCTCAAAACAGGTTCTATGAGTAGCAGAGGCCAAAACAAACAGATGGGCGGGGGGTAGGGGGGGTGGGGGGTGAGCTGCAGGGGTGGCTGTCGCATGCACTGCTGTCTCAGATAGTCTACACCACCAGCAGCAAACAGACAGGCCCCTGGGAGGGGAAGGAAGTGTCCCGCACAGGCTTTCTGCCAGCATCCAGACCCAGGGATTACTCTCTCCCACCCTGTCCCAAGGTGCCCAGCAGACTCGGGGGCCGTACTCAGTGAGGATGGAGAGCAGCTGGGCGATGGCACTGAGGGGCAGTGCAGGGGCAAGGCCGGAAGGGACACTCCAGACCCAGCGTTGATGGTAGAGGTAGCGGGACAGTGACGCTAGGCTGGAAGAGGCCGAGCGGCCCGACACCAAGGGCAGTGGTCCTGGTGGCTCCAGGGTCAGCAAGAAAGGTGCCCGATAGTCCAAGGGTAGCTTCTCATACCTGGGAAATAGGGGCAACTCATCAGTTCTCTCTGCTCATATCCAGCTAAGCCACGCCCCTCCACATGTCCGCAGGCCCCATCTCTAGCTTCTGTACCAACCTGATGAGCAGCTTGTCCAGTGGCTTGTGCAGAGCCACAAGGCAGGGCCGGTCAGACAACGCCTGCTGCGGTCCCAGCATGGGGGGGGACTTGGAGGGAGAGCTGCCCCCGCCAAAGCCCCCCAGCCCCTTTCGTTTCACCTTGGGCGTTGGCTCCTTGCTTTGAACTCGGTGGGGGAAACGTAACTGCAGGATCTCTTCCCGCAAGTCCGACACAATCTGTGAGGCACATGGGATGGGATCAGGTTCTCCAGCTCTCGTCTCCTGGCATGGTCTGGGAGAAGGGCCCACAGACCAGGTGAGACCTCTCTGAGTTTGCCTTGCTCTGGGAGCTCCTCTCTCTGCTAGACTGGGCCCTGCACGGTCTCCTTGGTCTGGGAGTTCACCAGGGCCCAGCTCACCTTGTGACGAGCCTGTGCTGGTGTGCCGATGGGGAAGCCCAGGCGAAGAACCATGCACGGGGCCTTGGAAATGATCCGGACCATGTAGAAGGAAGAAGGGGGCTGGTCTGGGGCACTGGGAAGAAACAGGAGTTCATAAGCATCCCTAGGCTAAGTGGTGCCGGGGGCTGGAGGAAGAAGACCGGGGGCCGAGGAGGGGGTCATCACTTGGCTCACCTGGAAAGCAGCTTCACGTAAGAATAGCCCTCCACGAGCACAAAGCTGCTCCAGTCCCGGAGCAGGGAGGTCAGTGAGGAGTGGGAGATCCTACACTGGATGGTGCTGTAGCGCCCATTGCTGCCCGGGGTGTGCAAGTGCTTGGGGACTGGTCTGCGAAGGGGTAACAGAACGAGGTCAGGCCTCCTGGACCCCCATCATGGGGGACAAGAAGAGGCTGCGAGCTGTCCCCTACAGGCCCTTCTCAAGGAGCAGGAGGACTAGGAAAGGCCAAGGTGGCAGCAGGGGGCTAGCCGCTGCTGGTGACTTCCTGCCTCCCTTTCCCATCATCCCCTGGGCCCTCACCCGGCTCTGCTGTCCCAATGATGGCCCAGGAGAAGACTCACGTATCATGCTCCAGGATCAGCACCAGGCGGTGCATGTGCAGCCAACGCTGCCAGGAATTCGCATCCATGGACAGCACCGGCTTCCAGTAGGCGGCAAACTGGGCGTGGGATGAGTCGGAACCACTGTGCTGCAGGGAGAGCACCTGGAGACAGAGGGAAGGAGGGCCAGGCCTATAGGAGCATGCCCGAAACGTCAGGGCACAACCTCTAAACCGCCAGACACAATTAGGGAGTCAGAGAGGGCCGTGGTTCAAGGCTGAAGGAACCTGCAGCACAGTGTGGGGCAGAGGCAAAACGCTATCTCAATAGGCAGGTGAGATCAGGATGACCGAGTGCCGTGCGGGGACAGACTGTGGAACCCTTCACAGCTCAACCACCTCCGGGCTTGTCTCAATAAGTCTGCTCACTGACGGCAGGACCTGCGATGAGGGCCGTTAGCACGGGTCACCCTGTGTCCAGCTGGGCTGACAGCCATGGGCTGAGTGTGCGTCAAGCACAGGACAAACAGAAGCTCAGCTTCCAGGAAGTCCCCAGGGGCTGCTGAGGAGCAGTGGTTGGCCACAGGTGGGTTGGGTCAGAGGGTACCAAGCAGAGCGGGCGAGCAGGGAGCCTTGCTGTCTGCTGGGATTCCACTTGAAGGCATTCTGCAAGTCTTTCCCTCTGCCGCCTGCCATTGACTGAGGATAGCCACTCTCCACAGACCCCGTTCCCTGGGGACTTGGGCACAGGAAGGAGATGTTCTCAACTCAACTTAGGGTTCTGGGTTGAGGCCTGTGGCTTGGGAGGGAGTAGAAGGTGGTACGGGGCTCCAGACGAGGTGCCAATCCAAGCCCAAGAGGGACAAAGCGGGGACAATGCGTACCAGCACAACTCACCGGGGTAGTGGAGCCGGGAGGGATGTAGAAGAGCGGCACTCCACTCTTGGTACTGTCAGGAAGGGTGAAATGTTCCGGGACGGAGGAGAAGGACTGCAGGTGGGCCAGCATCTGGTCCGTCTGGTTAATGCTAGAGGAAAGGGGTGCAGAGACTCTGGCAGGTACAGACAAGGGGAGCTCCAGTCTGCTTGGGCCTCAGAGAACCATGGATGCCTGTACACCAGCCTGGCCTGCCGAGGAGCTTTCCTCGGCTGTTCCAAACAACAAACGGGGTACTGCTCAGTGAGCGGTCCCCTGGCTCACCTCTGCAATGTATTCCAGAAGCGGCGGATAACGTGGGTGCGGTACAATGAGCGGATGGGCTGTCGTAGAGCACAGGATACATCATGCAGAATGTCATAGCCGCCTTCCATCGTCACTTCCACACGTGTTCCCCGAGGGCCCTCGGGCTCCACGGGCCAGGGGGCCACAGCCACATACTCAATGCGCATGTTGTGTTTCCACAGCAGGACCAGCTTCACCTCCAGCTGGGAGCCTCCTGCCGGGGAGGCAGGAGCACCAGTGAGAAGAAGTATGGGGCTCCGTGCCTGGGCCCAGTCCTATGGGAAAGCTTCCCCTAACCCGTGGAGCTCGCGCTTGGTTCCACAGCTTGTAGACCCAGACATGCCTGACTGCACAAGCAGACGTGGGAAGGACTAGTCTGAAATGAGACCACACTGCCCTCAGCTGACTCACCGGGAACACAGAAGCTGGGAGTGGGAGGCTAAGTGCTAAGGCAGCGGTCCTCAACCCGTGGGTTGCGACCCCTTTGGGGGTCGAACGATCCTTTCACAGGGCCGCTCCATTCTTAACAGTAGCAAACTTACGGTGAAGAAGTAGCAACGAAAATAATTTTATGGTTGGAGGGTCACGACAACATGAGGAACTGATTGCAAGGGTCGCAGCATGAGGAAGGTTGAGAACCACTGTGCTAAGGCACAACTCAACACTGACTTGATTCTCATGGCAAGCAGGGCCTTTCCCTGAGATATTCTCTCCCACATGGACTCTGTGCCTCGACAGGATAAACCTGCTCAACAAATTCTTGGTGACTTCTGAGAGTCATCTACCTTTGGCCAGTGTGACCTCTCGCACACTGTAGCCTTCCCGAAGCCGCACAGACACGGTGCTGACCAGGTCAGCTGGCACCTCCTTCTCAGTGTGCTTCTTCCGGCGCAGGGCCAAGGCAGGGTTGCTGCTGGCAGAGACTAAGTGCTCGTTAAACAGGCGGTGCTGAGAGCCTAGAAGACCAGCAAGGACGCGGAAAGGAGAGGTGGTCGTCAGCCGACAGATCAATGGGAGGAGGGGGTCAGACGGACATCAGGGGATCCTACAGGGTCAGTCACAGTTATACTTTCAGTACCCCAGGTCATTCTCCAGGGCCCGAATGATCTCTAGGGCACATTCTACATTCCCTCCCACCCCACATCCAAGCCATCCTGTCTCTCACCACAGTAGTATTCAGGGTTCAGGGCTTCCCCACTGCGTAGGAAGGAGTAGAGGAGGAATGCCCGGTGGTAGACGGTCAGGCCCAGGTTGCCTGGCTCGGGCTCAGGACAAGTGGACAGGTAGGAGCCAAATGTGGCCATTGCGATGAACTTCATCAATTCCACATTGGGCACGTGGCCGAAACTACAGTCGTAAGAGTAAACTCCTCCCACCTGGAAAAGAGGCGGCACTGGGAGACCAGGGTCTCGGAGCAGAATGAAGGAGAGGGAGAGCTGGGTTAGGTGGCTGGTCCAACCCATTGGACCAGAGGCTGGGTGGGGGTGGGGGGTGGCGTGTTCTCTCGGATGCAGGCCTCGGCTCCGCAGCTATCCTTCCATGAGCTCTTTTGTCCGAAGTTATGCCATTTGGTCACACGGGTCTTCCTCAACACCAAACACCAACTGTTAACTGACTTCTTGTCGCCACGCCGAGAGCCTTCAGCACCCAACAAAGTGTTTCACACGCTTTAGTGTCCATACAAAACACGGAGGGTTTTTATTAAAATGCAGTGTGATCTGGGGTGGGGCGTGGGAGTCTATTTCTAACGAGCTCTCTGTCAATGCTAAGGCTGCTGATCTCGAACCCACTCTTTGATCATCAAGACTGGTTTAGATCGGGATTCAGCAGAGCGCATATGGCCACAGCCCACATAGAGCCTATCACCTATTTCTGTACAGAAGGTTGTACTGGAATAAAGCAGTGCTCGTTGGGTTCTATGGCTGCTCTCCTGATACAATAGGAGGGTTGAGGGGTTGTGAGAGGAGTGTGCGGCGGCGAAGCTTTAATGTTTACAGTTTGGCCCTTTCCAGAAAAAGTCTACAAACTCCTGTATTAAACCATTTACACAACTCCCTGACCGCATGTCTTTAACGCTTATCAACATTAACTTTATCCACCTTCCTTGCTCACTGGCAGGGAACAACAGGCAGTCCCCAGGTTACCCAGTGCGTCTGTAAGTCAGAACAGATGCAAACAGCTCTCAGTTAGCCCTACGTTAGCAAGAGAGGCGCCCTGCTGCAGCAGCAGTGAAGCGCTCGGTTGCTAGTCTTAAGGTCAGCAACTGGAACCGCCCAGCTGCACCATGACCGCAAGGTGTGCTGGGCTGCCTTCCGTGGAGGTCGACGGTGCTGGCAACACTCGGGACATGGTGTCACTGTGCGTCAGAATGGACTTTAGCGGAACGGTTTGGTCTGGCTCAGTGCAAGAAAAGGCTCAGAGCCTTTTCCGGTGACCGAGAAGCTGTGCAGCTGAATGTAAAGGTGACTGAGAAAGAGCAGAATACTTTGCAAAACTATACTACAACAAACTTTTAAACCTAGGAGAAATGGACAAATTTCTAGAAACAGAGCATCTCTAAAGTAACCCTGAACTAGAGTTAAAAAATCTGGACGGACCTATTTAAAAAAGTCATCAGGTCATTAAAAGGCTCTCAAAAAATAAACAAAAAAAATGAAGCCCAGACAGCGTCACTGGCTAATTCTGCCAAGCACTCAGAGAAGAAATGACATCAACTCTATACCACGATGCCTGAGTACAGATAAGAATGGGATTCTCCCAAATTCATTTCAGGTGGCCTTTCCAACAGATGAAGCGATAAAACTCCCTTGCTACATATATGCAAGGGAGCATTGTTCAGACCTAAAGAGAAATCGAGAAATGGATGAACCTTGAAAACATTAGGCTGAATGAACTAAGTCAGTCACAAAAGGTAAGCATACATGATCCTACTTATGTGAAATGTCTAGTAATAAGCAACTATGTCTGGACAAAAATTGATTAGTGATTACCAAGACCAGGGGAGGGAGAAGGGAGAAGGGTTTACTGCTGAAGTGGCTCGGAGTTTCTGTTGGAAGTGATAAAAACAAACAAACAAATAAACAAACAAACAAACCCTTCTGGAAGCAGACGGTGGTGACAGTAGCACCAAACCAAGCCATTGCTTTCAAGTTGATTCTGACTCCAAGCAACTATAGGGTTCTGAGGCTGTAAATCTCTATTGGAGTAGACAGTCTCATCTTCCTCCAGAGGAGCAGCTAGTGGGTCTGAACCCGTGAGTCTGAAGTCAGCATTCAACACTTACCTGACAGGGCCACCAGGGCTCCTTAGTGATGGTACCACAACATGGTAAATGTAAACAACGCCACCGAGTTCCATGTGTGCTTAAAAATGGTTAACATGGCAAACTTTTCTGTTTATATATATACTTCACCACAATAAAGAGCTAAACAAAACAGACAAGCATATGACAGCCAACCCAGCTAGGCCTTTAGGGCTGTCCTCAATACTGCACGGACTCTGGCTCCCCTTCCACGATCCTCGCCTCTGCTTTAGAGAAATGAGGGGGCTTTGGCGGAATTCCTCCACATCGTCACTCCTAGCCTTCCAGTCTTGAAGACAGAAATGATGCTCTCCTGCTCCAAGAGTCTCAGGATCTCTGTGCTTGACCGCACGCCACCCGTCAGTTTAGGAGTGTCACTCCATCAGGCACCCTGTGTCTTTCCTTCATGTTAATCCTACCACCACCACCCCTGCCTGCCACCACTATGTCTTCTTAGTAACATGCTTAGTCTGCAGCTCAGACACACACACAAACAGCTCTTCTCCCACCCCGTACTCCCGCTAGCCACCATCCCCTCCCACACTCCCTACTTGATTTGAGCAGTCAGATTTCTTGTGCCAACACTTGTCTCTGCTTCCCTCTCTTCTCCCTTCTGTCAACTTCCTGCAACCATGTCCCTGATTTCAATGAAGTGGCTCTGGCAATAATTCCCATGACCACGTAATCATCAAGCCCAACACGGCACTTCTTGTTCCTCATTTAGCTGACTTTGTGTGCATCTTACACTGTTAACGACTTCCTTCTTCCTGAACACTGTTCTTCCCTGACAGCAGCATCTACTACCTCTTGTCTGATCTTCATCCTCTGCTGAGGCCTCTTCCCAGGGAAGACCTTTAAACAAGTCATTTCCCAGAGCTTTCCTGGCATCCTCTTGCCCTTAATCCCTCCCCATCTCTCATCTAGTACTCACTCCTGAGAATCAGATCTGCATATCCAATTGCTAACTGTTATGAACTCTAGCCACTTGTCACGTATGCACATGCTTAGTGTTTCAAACCCATCGTTTTACCCAAGGAGGTACATACTTTTATTAAAATCTCCATTTACAAATTAATTCAACCTTGAGGAGAAGTGATTTTGCCAATGTCATGCAATTAATAAGTGGAGCCAGGATTCACACTAAAAAAACCCCAAACCCAAACCCAGTGTCATTAATTCCGACTCAATCAGTCATATCCAACTCTGTGAGATCCCATACTCCCCTCCTTCCTCACCTGTACAAAAGAGCAAGCCACTGTGCCGCTGCGAAGCTGGTTCAGCAGTGTCTCACAGACAGCAACATCGGGAACGCTGGTCACCCCATCAGTGATCACAATGATACCTGGAACAGGACACATCAGACTTGGGACCAGAGACATGGGCCCTGAAGACCTCGATGTCCTCCAATCAACGTTTTATAAATCTCAAATGCTCCTCCCGCCCCCTTCTTGAGGGTTGTATCACAAGCTCCCCACACCTCTCTAATTGGGTCCCTGAGGGTTGCCAGGGCTGCAAGTATTTGAAATGTGCACTAATACAGAATTAGATTTTATAAACAAGGAAATAGATCTTCTTCCTGAGATCCCCTGATCCCCTGGAGCCTTGTATTTTTGTTAATACCCCCCCAACACACACACCCATTCCTTCCGAAATCTTCCCATTTCTCCAACCCTACCGATGCTCCTAGAAGCCTCGCCTTGCACTGACCTGCGCTAGAGTTGGAGGGCAGCAGCTGCAGGGCCAAGATGCCCTGGCGAATCATACTGACCAGCCCAACATCCGCTGTCACCATGGAGACCCCCACCTTTCGGCCTGGGGGCTCTGCTGAGTCTGGAGTCTGGTCTTCTGCCTGGCCCTAAGTTAAAGAAATTACAGTGTGGGACAGATGGCATAGCTGGCCCATCCACTGCCAAGCCAGAATTGCTAGTCCAGGACAGCCCAAGGAGAATCCCGTGAGAAGCCCAAGAAGAGCCCTCCCACCCGCTACGAGGCAGCCGAACCTCAGCTCTCCTTGTACTTGCTCCCTGCTGGCCCAGCTATGGAGCCTTAGAGGGGAAGGGAATCCAGCACCAGAGGGTAATAAAGTAGGGCGGCTTCCCCACCTTTCCCCAATAAGAGCTCCTTTCCATAGTTTTTCATTACCATTATGAAATGTTTTATGTATCCATCTCATCCTATTCTTATCACCAGACACTTGGAACTGCCAGGTGTCTCAGCTACTTGTGGGGTCGCCAAAGGGAATGAGAAGGGGATCCCAGTGCGCCCAAGCAGTTTTACCCCTGACTGAACAAAACACTAAGTAGAGTTCAACGTGACGCCACCCATGATCACTTCTGCAGATCCACGGGGGAAATCTCATTTCCTCCCCACAAGATGGTATGTACTGCAGCCGAGCCCTTCCCCCACAGGAACCTGCTCCATGCCCCTCTGGCACTGCTGTCCTCCTTGCCCTCCGTATCTGGCTTGCTCATTCTCTTTGTCCCTTGGCCTTAGGTGTTTCCCTTTCTAAGAGGTCTCTGCCACCTACCTGGCTCTGGGGATCATACTGCTGCTGTAGCATAGCAGCCACCTTGTCCTCATAGAGGCAGAGCTGCTCATAGACCTGCTGCAGGAATACCTCTCGTTGGGAAGGATCCAGAAGACAGCCTTGTACTAGCACCTAGGAAACACACAGGCCAGACACACAAGATGGTCAGGGAGGCTCCTGGGCATTGCCACTCTGGTCTCTCTTCTCCACCACCCCATCTAGGTGATCCAGACTTGCTAGCCAAGCAGGGTCTGAGGTCTGAGAGCTTCCCAGCTGGTTCTCTCTGTATCAGACATACATTTCACCAAAGCTCTGCCCCGAGACGCCACGACCTGGGGCACCTTTCTCTCTACAGCCATCCACATGAGGGCGCCCTAAGACCGACCAAATGGCGCCATATCGGCCTACAGACAGGCTGGCTGTAAACTGCCCAAAACTCAGCCTGGTGGACCTTTTTGTTCTCCTACTGTGTTCTTTGGGATCCTAAGCACACTGCACACTGAGGCTGCCTGAACTTTCCTGTTCTTTTTAAAGTTCTAAAATGTTCTTCACATGTTCCTTCCTTCCCTTCACCCTCAGCAAATAAATCCCACCTCCTGCTTCATGAGAGAAAGAAAGTCAACAGGTACTACCCTCATTGGAACTGTGGGGGGACTACTTCCTAACCTGTTGAGTTGTCCGCTTCAGCCTCTGAAAGAAGCATTTTCTCTCCTCCCACTCTTTTCCTTTAAAGCTCATCTCTCCATTTAAACGCCGGCCTTTTCTTTTATTACCTTTTCACTCTCACACCACAGCCCTCTCTCCTTCCTTTTCAAACATAAGCAGATTTGTACACCAGACGGGCAGCTCCTTGGGGCCCCTTGGCTCTCCCCCCCCACCCCAGACTCTCCCTACACCCTATCTTGGCTCTCTTCCCCCCCAGACTCTCCCTACACCCTATCTCATGAACCCACTTCTTCCCCCTACCCACTGTGGAACAAGATTCTCCATCTCTCTCAGAATTGACCAGGTCGGACTGTGAGAAGACTAGACTCAGAGTAGTAGGAATTGAAGCTATAGAAAGATGAGAAAGATGGTTATAGCTGTATTGTTTAGAATAGTAAACATTAAGGGAACCTCAAACCAAAAACCAACCCATTGTCAGAGTCAATGAGACTCAGAGTGACCCTAAAGGACAGGGTAGAACTGCCCCTGTGCACTTACAGGGTTGTCACTTTAAAAAAAATCATTTTATTGGGGGCGCGTACTACTCATCACAATCCATCCATCCATCCATCCATCCATTGTGTCAAGCACATTTGTACATTTGTTGCCATCATCATTTTTAAAACATTTGCTTTCTACTTGAGCCCTTGGTATCAGGCCACTTCTTTTCCCTTCCTCCTCCACCCTCCCTCCATCACGAACCCTTGATAATTTATAAATTATTATTTGTTCATGTCTTACACTGACCAATGTTTCCCTTTACCCACTTTTCTACTGTCCATCCCCCTGGAAGGGGGTTATAGGTAGATCATTGTGATTGGTTCCCCCTATCTCCCCCTACCTTCCTCTTCCCCTCCTGGTCTCACTACTCTCATTATTGGTCCTGAGGGGTTATCTGTCCTGGATTCCCCATGTTTCCAGCTCTGATCTATACCCGTGTACATGCTCTGGTCTAGCCAGACTTGCAAGGTAGAATCATGATAGTGGGGGGAGGACACATTTAAGGACTAGAGGAAGTTGCATGTTTCATTGGTGCTATACTGCACCCTGCCTGGCTCCATCTCCTCCCCACTACCCTTCTGTAAGGGGATGGCAGGACTGTAACTCTTTCTAGTAGAAAATCTCTTCTTTCTAGGTGATTTGTGTACAGCTGGCCTTGCGGTTAGCAGCCCAACAGGTAACCACTAAGCCACCCGGGCTCCTTTTAGACAATCCAAGTGTCCAACGATAAGGATTTGTCTAAACATACTATGAGGACAGGCATATGATAAAACATTAAGCAGCCATTAAAAACCAGCTTTCAAAGAATATTTAGTAACAGAAAAAAAAGTCTATCTTTTTTGGTACATGTATACACACACACACATACACATGTACACACATCTACAGAAGGGAACTTTGTGGGAAAATTCTGTTATTTTTTAACTCAATTTTTCCATGAACTTTTGAACCTCCTTGAATACATACACACACACACAGCCAAAAACTGTGTATGAATGAATCTGGTGTTTCTTCCTTTTTGGACAGTAGAACAGTAATAAGGGAGGGCACACACATGCTCCAAAGACCGGAAACAAAGTCCATAAAATGTTCCCAGTGGTGCATTGTGAGTGCATTTCGTGTAAGTATTTTAAAAATCTTCTTCCAACGACCCTGTGGTACAAACGTGATCAGCCCTTTACAGAGCAGCAGGAAACCCCTCCTGTGGGGCTACAGAGAAACTGAGGGCGCCAACTCGGGGCAGCTAGCGGACAGGCAGCCCTCGCTGCTTGCTCTCGCCCTGCTGCCCCTTCATCCCACACAGACTTTATCCCTCAACCACCTTCCACGCTGACAGCAAACAAGATCTTCCTACTGTACAAATCAGACTGCGTTATTGCCTATTGGAAGCCAATGGTTCTCTACAACCTGCGGCTAGTAATTTTAATAGCTAACATTTTTTTTCTCTGCGACAGGTACCAAGTCCTAGATACACACTAAGTCAATCACACATA